GGCGCACGTGGCGGCCCCACCGCCGCGCGCCCTGCCCTCGGCTGTCGGCGACAGCCACCGCGACAGCGCTGGCTGCAGGCTCCGTCAGGGCTTCGCCCGTCGTGTTTTTCTGCCTGGCCGTCTTTTACGCGTGCGTCACCTGCCCGTTCGGCTCCTGTGGTGGTGCGGTTCTGCTTTCGTGTGGCGGTATTTGCGCGGTTGTCCAATTAATCTGTTTTTCTGGTGTCACCAGTAGGGTATTTTCCCCCAACGCAAAATCTTGTAGTTCGAGCTGGGTACGCTTTACATACGAAAAGTTAAGAAAGAGGATTTGCTCGCGTTGTTGGTGTGCAGGCTATACACCAAGAGAATCATAAATGCTGCTTATGTTTTGAGGCAGGCACGGGTCGTTTGCATTTGCTGGGTTTCGTTTCTTTTTTGCTGTATGATGGAGTGGCTAGAAAATACGTGTAGCAGGGGAGTGATTGGATCCCCAGTTACAATTCTATTTGTATGAAAAGAAACTCTAGTTTCTGTAATACCAGTTTCTAGTTCTAGTTTCTATAATGCTGCTCTAAAAAGAGTCAAAATTTAGAGGCAGCCTCTAAAATACTATTATAGTAACTGCTCTTTATTAGAGCAGTATTATAATGTTTCTGGAATAAATAGTTTAAATTTTTTTTATTATTTATATTTATTACTTATAAAAATCACTTACATGTCATTCAAAACCACTCACATCTCTCAATCATAGTTTTGTCTATGACGTTGAGACCCCAGAAAATACTCTTAAGACAACTGCAACAGAAGACAACTAATAGAAATTAATTTTTACTCCAGGTCACTTCAGCTACGCTGCAGATAATACAGGGATGCTGCTGCAAGATGAAATAGCCCAGGAAAGACTTGAACTTTGTTAGCAAACTGTTAACAGCTGTCTGAGGTACGGAAGATTTAGGCTGAAGTTCCTGCTTTGAAAGACAATCAGCGCCCTGATTACGTACACCCTGTCCAAGGCTAGTGCTCTGTTCTGAGTTGCAGCACGGCCCCCAGCATCAGGTATCAGAGGACATGGAGTTTGAAAGGTTGTGCAAATTCAGGTGACTAAAGTGTTTTAATTGATCATAGAATCACAGAACCATGGAATCATCTAGGTTGGAAAACACCTTTAAGATCATCGAGTCCAACCATAAACCTGACACTGCCAAGTCCACCACTAAACCATGTCCCTAAGCACCACATCTACATGTCATTTAAATACCTCCAGGGATGGGGACTCCACCACTTCCCTGGGCAGCCTGTTCCAATGCCTGACAACCCTTTCAGTGAAGAAATTTTTCCTAATATCCAGTCTAAACCTCCCCTGCCACAGCTTGAGGCCATTTCCTCTTGTCCTGTCACTTGGGAGAAGAGAACAACACCCACCTCCCTCCAACCTCCTTTCAGGCAGTTGTAGAGAGTGATAAGGTCTCCCCTCAGGCTCCTTTTCTGCAGGCTAAACAACCCCAGTTCCCTCAGCCGCTCCTTGTAAGACTTGTTCTCTAGACACTTCACCAGCTTCATTGGTCTTTCTTTGAACACGCTCCATGCTGATGCTAATATACTTGAAAAATAGGATAGTCAGAGAATGATGCCATCTAGTCCTTCTGCATAGTTTCTGTGATACAAGGAATGCTTTCAGATTCTGGTTACTCTTAATTCCTGTTGCTTCTTCATGTGTGTCCATTTTAGTATTCGATAGCCCTTTCTTTTAATTCCTTTTCTTACTCAACTTAAGCTCAGGCTTTGAATTTTAGCTTATATTGTTGGAGTGCACTATGTAAGACTTCATGGTTTGAATTCCTGTTCATGTCCAGGCATATCAGTCAGCATCTTGATTTGCTTTAGTTTATCATCTCCTATGCACGTTGAGTCTCTGCTGGGAGAAAAATCTTTCTGCCTGTATACAGCAATTATAGTTAAGGTGTTCAAGTAAACAGTTCTATGTCTTAAGACACATTTGAGAATTTTTTTTTTCAGGAAATGATTCTTGTCTTTTTGCTCCAGGGAAATAACTTACCTGTCTATCCTGCTCCCTTCTTAAGATGTGCAAGAAATATTTGTGGAGAAGCAGCATGGGAACAGGAAGAATTTATTTTAATCCAAAGAGTAGGTGTAGTTTTCTAGTGAAAATGGGCAAACATTGTATATATTTTCTTAGATGCTACATAAAGTTTTAGGATGTTGAAGGGAAAGATTATATAGGTATTAGAAGTACAAGAAGGAAAAAATGAGGCATAAAAAATACCTTGCTTGGTGTTTGAAGTTAACAGACTTGGTTGCATTTAATGGCATATTGGATAGATTACACAAAGCTCTCCCACTCTCACCAGTAACAACATCCCACTGCTTGTAAAAACACATTCTGCTTGCTGTAGCAAGTTTCAGTATTCTGCGAGTTATATTAGGAAGACCACGCTGCCTCTATCAACCTTTCCAAACAGATATTTAGGCTCAATCCATATGGGGACAGCAGTGTTGCAGCACTGCATTTTTAGGCAAACCACCAGTGATGATAAGCCTCAGGGTTGCATTACCTAAGTAAGCTCCCCCCACCCCACCCTACCCCACCCCACTCCCCCACGACCCACCCCCCGCCCCAAGCCCCCTCCCTGCTCATTGGGAGATTTGGGCCGTACCGCACATCTGTACTGCCAACACATTACAATGCAGGGATTCTCAGGCTGGGGGCAGCCTCATCCACTAAACCAGTATTGTATGGTGCAATAGTGTAGGAATGTACCAGCTCAGACTTGAAACTACTTTGTACATGTATTTCCATAATGCTACACTTAATTAAAGCTTTTTTCTCTCTTTGAGAGACTTTTCTATTTTTCTGTCAGGGCAAAGTCTTGGATATAGCATTCCTACTTTCCAGGGTACTGAACCACTAAGCTCATGTGTTTGTAGGAGTCTGTCTGATTTAATGGGATTATTTATCTTTGTATAGTCTCTCTAGAAAAATGGCCTAAACAGTAGATCATTAGCTAAAGGAAGACAGCTTCTCTTCTGACAGTGTCTTTTGTGGCATCCAACAGAGAAGGTGCCCACCAAGGGGTGGACTCTGGTGGGACAACAACGACTCTGAGGTTATGCTCTGAGACTGGACCGTGAACCGCTCAAAACATAAAACTACAGATCCAGACAAAACTTCTGAGGCTCTCAGATGTATGTACATACTTGTTTTGGGAACAAGGCAAATCCTGGCTACATGATTTCCTTTGGGGGAATTTAGCTATTGCATTGCTATTATACGTAAGTTTTCTTCTTCAGTCTTTCTGACTTCAGAATATCCTCAAAGACACAGGGGAACCTTCAAGAGGTTGATTGTTGTCTTCTGTCGAATCTGTAGAAACTTGTAAATTAAACTGGTTGAACACCAATTATTAGTCATCAGTGCCGTAGGACATTGATTTTTACTGTATGCTGTAAAAACAATGAAATAAACATAAACATTCTAATCACTTTTACAATGTTTATCAAATCGCTCCAGTAAAGCCTTCCATATGCTGCCTGGGATTGTTTGGTGCTTGCTTATGAGAGTCTGGATGGCAGTCTTTGTCTGAAAAGAGAAGAGACAATTGCCTTTACAGACCTGCTTATGCAAGGAAGAACAGTATAATCACTGACTTCTCAGAGGTTCAAGAGGTATTGGGAAATTCACACAGAAGATCTGCTTTAAGAAGAAAGTTGTCTTTTATATTAGCTAGTTGTCCTAATGACACTTTCCTTGGAAAGGAAAGGAATAAAAACATTGATTGCAGTTTGGATAGGCTCAAATTATTGAGATTTATCAAGCCTGAGCATTACTAAGTCAATGTAGCCTTAACACATGCAAACATTAAGTCTGTGCAATCTCCGTCCCTGAAGGTTTTCATCAAAAGCACTGGATAAAGCCTGACTAACCCCATGTGATCTCGCAGCTGACCTTGCTGGGACCAGGAATTTGGAGTAGGGACCTCCGTCTACCCTTCCCAACATGAATTCTTCCGTAATTGTATCATACACAGCATGCACATAATAAGAGAATTCATATCTAAGTTCTGTTCATTTTTACTCTACATGAGATTCAAATGCAAATTTGTGAAGAGAATGCATAAAAAATTCTGTATTTCTACTAGGGATAAGAAATAATCTCCCTTAGTTTTTCCTCATGTATTTAAACTTGAAAAAGAGTAGGTACGTACTCCGGTGATTTACCTCAGAGTGATGGTAGAATGTCACTGGGAATATAAGAAAACAGTAGCCAAACCTTTCCTGAAAGATTCATGTCCTGACTCCTTTCCAGGGAAGGATCAGATAGAGGTCAGCCAGGCCACTGCTCATCTCAAACTCCATTTAAGTTGTTGGGGTTTTTTTAACTAATATGAGCCACAGAAGACCTAACCGTACTCTCACTGAAGTGGGTGATCAAAGGCTTGACTTAGTAAAGCAAATCAACGTCATGGGAAATTTCAGTTTTGGTTTTGCAGGTACACAAAATACTGTTCCCCCAAAATACAAGAATATGGATAACCGTAAGGGCAGTCTTAGAACTAATACTGCTTCCAGCCTCCTAAACCTAAGACCAAACTCCACAGCTTGCTGGGGCAGTTCCCTTGTAATAGACCAAACCTGTCTTTCTGGTTTCACTACTGCGAAGCCCAGAACAATCTGCAGTAGATCCTTAAAAAAAAGGAAAAAAAAAAAAAAGAAATAAAAGCTAGCCTTCTTCCATCTTTTG